CAGAATTCCCCAGCCTGCTGGCTGGGGAATTCTGGGAGTTGAAGTCCACACATCGTCAAGCTGCCAAGGTTGAGAAACACTGCTCTAGGTTGTTGACTAGTTGGGCCATTTTATAATGATGCTGGCTTGTTATTATGGACCTAATACTACAAAGTTGATCAGAGTAGATAGAGTTTATTACGGTCACAGACCAGAGTTGAAAATAAAACACGTTAAAAATAAAAGAAGAAGAAAAACACAAAACAGGATAAGAAAGGTACAGTTGGTGGTGGCTTCACTGTGTGCTAATTTTACTGGCAGTCTAACAGAATTTGGCTACATTCAAGGAAGCTAAATCATACTGATCTGATCACAACTGTACATAAAAACAATCCGAATTTCCTAGGTGTTTTGCCAAGTAAGGAGTTACAAAGATGGTTAGAATCTCTGGGTTACCAATCTGCTCTTCCCTTCTGCACTCCGAATGACGGTGCAATTCACATTTAAACAGGAACACATCTCAACTCACTTCTTGTTTGAGAGAAGACGCAGGAAGCCTCAAAGCTTCGCGGAGCAGGGTGTACATGCCAGATACGAGGACTGCAAGCCGTTCATCTGACAGATTGGCGCTTTCGGCGACCGTCTTTACTGACGCTTGACACTCCTTTCCTTCCAGTGCGCCGACGGTGGCTATTTAAATCAAGAAACGAAACAAAGACTCCAACTATTCTGTCAGGCCCAAGGTCCCCAAAGTGGCACTCACAGACCTAGGCTGTGATTATGTCTGTGGAAATATAACCATAGATTATATTCCCCCAGACATAAATACTCGCTCACACACAAAGTATAAACACAAGAAACTGGTTTGACACCACCCCCTCCCTCCAAGCATCAGCCTCAACAATAATCTTATTCCAAGAATCCCTCCATCTTCCAAAAGCCCGTAGAGGCATTTGCAGAAAATCAAAATGGGAAAGAGTGTCCATTTGCCAGCAAAATCCCAATGGTGGTAGATTTCTTGGCGTGCCTTTAAGAGCTCTCAGATTTCCAAATTGTCTCCCAAGCCCTGGATTACATACCCTTTCCTCCCTATATGTCCTGCTATCATCGTACAATTGACCCAAATATTTGCATGATTTGCATGATGTCACTGGGGCTTTTAATCAATGCTTATCAATTGATTCTCATCAAGATGAACAGCTGGTGCAGCTTTATGGGAACTGTGTAACTGAGCAGTGCTGGGGAAACTAAATTCACTGACTGGGGCTTAAAGATCCAGGGCAATGCCTATCTCATATTGGTCAATATGAGCTCTTTAAGTTCCTCCTCCAGGCCTTTCTCCAGGCCTATGTTTCCGGCACTAGCAGCCCATTTCTAAAAAAATTCCCTTCTACATTGCAATCTTTTCAAGGCCAGATGAAAGCTTGTTGGGTCTCCCAAACATTTTGATTTGTTGCAATTTCCCTTTTACTTCAGTGATGTTTCACTGCTACATTGATAACACAAAGATAAAGGCCTGGGAACCTAAAAACCTTGGGGGACACCGATGTATCTTGAATGAAGGAAAGAAATGTTGCATCCCTAAGGAAGCGAGATGCTTTTAGGAAACATACTATTTTATTTCCAGGCACAAAAGAAGATAAAAGTTTGCCTTGATATTCTCCCACTGTTCTAGGGTTGGGTTTTTTTTTTGTTTTGCTGCTTTCAAGTCCATCCCAATCAGTCCTTGAGGGTTTCCTGGCAACGTTTTCAGAAGCAACTAAAGGGCTGAGAGAGCGGGAGTGGCCCAAATTCACCCAGCTGGCTTTGTGCCTAAGGTAGGACTAGAACTCACAGCCTCCTGGTTTCTAGCCTGGGGCTTAAACCACACCAAACCCGCCCTCAACCACCGAGTGAAGCAAAGCCAAACGTTAATTCTTGCTAACCACGGCAGGACTAAGTTGGGCCCTTGGTCACTGCGTGGTGCCTGCTGCTGCTTTTCTTCAGCTTTTGTGGGATGCAGGCAGGGGATTTTCCTCAGCCCCGCCTGGAGAGATCAGGGATCGCTGCAGGCAGAGCACCATTTAAAAACGACCACTGGAAACACTGCAAGCTGCCGAGAGAAAGGTTGCTAAATAAGAAGCAAGCGCTGGTCGAGTTGCAAAAATTAGGGACGGCGTGCAGTGCGTGGCCTCTGCAAAATTCCAAGGGGCAATTCCCAGAGGTCACCCTTCCTCGGTTCCAAAATTCACAGGTTGCATCGACGCTGAAAAGATTATTTGCACCCGCTGAGGGGCTCATTGCCCCGCCCTGCTTCCCACCCGCAGCAAGAGGCTTTTACCTTTCAGGAGCTTCCGGAAGACCTCCTTTTCTAGCTCTTGGAGGCCCTTCGCCATGGCTTCCACCTGGGGGGGTATTCGAGGCCCCAGGAAACTGGCCCTATTCGCGCTGCTTTCGCCGGCAAGCCCCGGGGGCAGGAAAGGGGGCGACACCGCCTTCCCCACCGCTGCCATGGCAGCCCCGCGTCCTGCAAGGCGGGCCACGCGGGCGCCAACTTTTGCAAAATTGCTGGAGAAGCAGCCGCGGCCGAACCCGGCGGACCGCTCACGTGACCCCCGCCCCTTCCCGGGGACGTTCCATTCCTCGCGGGCGCCTCCTAGCGGGAGAGCGGCGCTGCTGCCGGACGGATCTTGCCAGCCTCGTTTGCGAAGGACGCAGGCTGACCGAGGCTGCTGGGAGTTGTAGTTCTCCGCATCTGGAGCGAGCTCTAAGTGTGCTGGCTTTGCAGATGTGCTACTTCTGGCTGCCTTTGTATCCTGCCTGTCCTCCAGGCAGATGACGGGTTCTCTTCACAGTGACCCCACCTTTTTTATTTCAGAAAGCCATCCATTATTTATTTTTCAAAAACTCCCCTTTGTCCTTTATTTTGGTCATTTCACTTTTTCCCTGCCGGTGGAACCACTTCATGCACTTGTCATTCGCCTTCAGGTGAAAACCATGGAAATGGAATGGATTTAAACCTAAATGCACCTCTCCTGTTTGATTTCAGATCTTGTCCTTAGAATTTGCGCTTTTGTAATGCTTTTCTTGGTTTTGCTCTTGAATTTTCCTTTGTAAAGCAAAGTTATAAACAATTCATTTTTTTTTTATCCTAATGAACCTCTTTCCGATTGGCCCCTTTTTCAGGTCTGTCCTTTATTTTTTCCAAGAAAATAGGGTCACCGTAGTTATCTTCCAGTTTAACCTGGGACGGAGATTAAGTTAGTGGCTCTCTTTGCACAATACGCTGAACTAGGCCACCGGTGTTTAGTCTGGTGCATAGGGCAAATATGGGTTGGGAAGTTAGTTGAGGATTAATGCTGTGCAAATCTCAACACAGCAGACTGGATCAGTTAGCCCGGGGTTTCTCAACCTTGGCAGCTTGAAGACATGTGGACTTCAACTCCCAGAATTCCCCAGCCAG